TTGAAAAGGCAGATTTACAGAGAGAGGAGAGACAAAGGAAGGTCTTCCACCCCCTGGCCCACTTCCCAAGTGGCCGCAATGGCTGGAGCTGAACTGTTCCAAAGAGCTAGGAGTCAGGAGCCTCTTCCGGGTCTCCCATGCAGGTGCAGGGTCCCAAGGCTTTGGGCCGTCCTCAGCTGCTTTCCCAGACCACCAAGCAGGGAGTTAGATGGCAGGTGGAGCATCAGGGACACAAATCGGTGCCCATATGGGATCCTGGTGGATGCAAGGCAATGACTTTAGCTACTGGGCCATCGCACCAGACCGGAGAGCCCAGGTTTCATAGTTACTGTATCAGAGTGGGGAGTCCTGGTATGCTGTTTATAGCTGTATGGGACATTAGGCAGGCCACTTGGTTTCACTGAGCCCCGTTGTTTACCCGCCAAATAGGTATTTCCTGGTAATTTTGTGAGGGTTAATTGAATAACTAGGTTTACACTTAGAGATTATAGTCATTGTATGTAACATTTGACCAAGTAGTTCTTAATAGCTGTTATAAACCAAGAAAGGGATATAGCACATAAAGCTGCTACCTGTGACACTGGCATCCCAGGTGGGTAACAGTTTATGTCCTGGCTGCTCCGCTTTGGGTCCAGTTCACTGCTGATGGCCTGGGTGCTTGGACCCTAGCTGCCCTTGTGGGAGATCAGATGGAAGCTTCTGGATGGAAGCTATCTTTCTGAGTTTCTCCCTTTTTCTCTTTCCAATAAATAAATCTTAAAATGAGAAAAGAAAAGAAAGAAACCGCATGCCTCTTCCTCTTGCAGATTGAGAGGAGCTCAGCGTATATTCAGGAAGAAGGCTCATGCCTGCTGTATCAGACGAGGTCACGGCCTTCACCTAGACCTCTTTGCGCCTGCACAGATGGAAGCAGTGAACTGGAGTGTTTACACTGGGGGCACGCAGGGTTTGTGAGGTGGACCCCATGTGCTTTAGAAGGCCAGTTTTCTGAAAGAAGACAGGGAAAAGTCATGGTTTTGCAGAAGCGTAGAAAGGAGGCAAGTGACATGACTAATGACAATGGCAAGGGGCCACAGGGCGCCTCATGCGTCCTCAGTAGCTCGGACCTAGTCCATGTGCACAGGACCATAGCACTGCAGCACCGGGCACGTGATACGGAGCCATGGGTACACCTGACACCAAACGCGGTAGCTGCTAGGCTTGCTCCGCGAGGTGTGTTGTAAAAGTCTGTTGCTGGAGCCCCCGGTTTTTCTTCAGTGTCAGCACAAATCCTTGTTTATTAAAGATTTAGCTTGAAGGAAATTTTAATTAATTGCAGGTGCAGCCGATGCTGGCCCCGGAAGCTGCTGTGCCGCGTTGCCGTGAATGGCCTTCATGCGCCTGTGCTGCACGCGGCTCTCCCGTGGCTGACAGCGTGATTTATGACTGTTGTTTTTCTGCCCGTCCACTGTTTGCCCTCTAGGAGGGATTGGTCTCCTGAGCCTCCGTAATCACAGCAGCACTCTCCGACATCTTGTAATGACAACAGCACTGCCTTCAGTAAGGCAGGCTAATTGCAGATGCACCCTATTAATTGCAAAAACTAGGCGAGGTTACATATTTTACAAGCTTTTAATTTGAAACCACCCGAGATGATTTGTCTTAAGTGTTTGGATAGAGACGTCCATAATATTCAGCAAGCCACTGTTATTCAAACTCTGATCTGGGCACTTCTGGAGTTCTGAGACTGAATCAGGTGACCACAGATAGTCCCCCGTGCGTTCTTACCCACTGCCCAAGTAGAGGGTATGGGAACGTTGCAATGTATGCTTTGTGGATTTTTTTCCTCCATTAAAAAAAAATATATATTAATTCTTACTTTTTTGTTTTGTTTCGTTTCTCCAGGATTTATTTGTTTTATTTGAAAGGGTTACAGAGAGAGGGAGCAAGAGGAAGCTCTTCGGACCGTTGGTTCACTCCCCAAGTGGCTGCGGTGGTCATGGCTGAGCCAGGCTGCAGCCTGCCGCCAGAAGCCAAAAACTTGAGCTGTCTCCCAGGTGGTGACAGGGGCCCAGTCCTTGGACTGGCTGCCACTGCTTTTTTCCAGGGCCTGTAGCAGGGCTGCATTGGAAGTGGAGCAACTGTGGGCCCAGCAAATCCTCACTTTGCAAGCACCAGGATCCCACATAGGTGCCAGTTTGTGTCCCAACAGCTCCACTTCCCATCCAGCTCCCTGCTTGCTGTCTGGGAAAGCAGTCGAGGACGGCCCAAAGCTTGAAACCCTGCACCCACATGGGAGACCCGGAAGAAATTCCTGGCTCCCGGCTTCAGATTGGCTCCGGGTTGGCTCAGCTCTGGCCTTTGTGGATATTTGAGGAGTGAACCAGCGGATGGAAGATCTTGCTTTCTTGCTTTCTGTTTCCTCTCTCTGTAAATCTGCCTTTCCAATAAAAATAAATAAAAGGAAAGGAAGCTGCCAGGATTTTGAGCTCATATGAAATTCCAGCATTGCACGTAGTGGCCTAAGCCACTGCACTACAAAACCAGCACTTCATTTCTTTAGACCTTGCCTTCTCTGGGTCCCAGCAGCTGAGCAGGGGCTGGGGACGAGGGGGTGGAAGTGAGCCCTGAGAGCACCTGTCAAATATCTGTACGGCTGTGCACCCTACGTTGGTCACGAGGTTGGGAGTTGGGGGATGGTTAAACCAGGTGTGGCCTTCAGCACACAGGTGTTATTGTGCAGGTCCTGAGCTTTGTGAATGGGAACTGGGTGTTAAAACTCAGCTGTCACCTGTTGACCCTTTCTTAGACACAAGGTGCTTGATCACATGGCTAGTATATCGTGACCTCAGAAATGGCATTTGCCGAGCCCGGCGGTGTGGCCTAACGGCTAAAGTCTTCACCTTGAACGCACCGGGATCTCATATGGGCGGTGGTTCTAATCCCGGCAGCCCCACTTCCCATCCAGCTCCCTGCTTGTGGCCTGGGAAAGCAGTTGGGACCCTGCACCCGTGTGGGAGACCCAGAAGAAGTTCCTGGCTCCTGGCTTCAGATCGGCATAGCACCGGCCGTTGCGCTCACTTGGGGAGTGAATCATCGGACGGAAGATCTTCCTCTCTGTCTCTCCTCCTCTCTTGTATATCTGACTTTCCAATAAATAAACAAATCTTTTAAAAAAATTGACATTTCCCTATTTTGCTCCTTCAATAGTTTCCTAGCCTTTGCTCTACTTTTCTTTAGACCCTATTGAATTAAGGAATGTTTTAGTCCCAGTTCTTAACAATGATATTAATAAAATTACCGTTTTGGAAACCATTGGATTTGAGAGAACTGTGTGAGAGGACCATGACCACATTGGTTGTGTTAGTGGGCTTCCGAACACCTAGCCATTGTGTCCTGTGAAAGCCTTGCTCGATTCATGAGTTGGTAGATTTTATCTGTGAAGTAATGTCTCCCTAGTTAGGAGGCGTGCAGGCACAGGGGGAAGTGGGCAGTGCTGTCCGTTTTGGAAATAGGGTTGTGTTAGCCTGAGAACGGTCTGTATTCTGGGACAGTTTCAGTACCAGGCTTTCTTCCTACTCTGGGCCTCTTGGACTTTTGGTGGGAAGAGCATAAGCTCTCTCTTCAGAGTCTGCAGTGATGGTCTATTCCGTTCATCTTCTATTTCTTTGGTGAATTTTGGTGATTTTCTAATTATAAGGTCCCCTGGGTCTGGGGTGTGTGGGGTTGGTAGCCCGTCTGCCTTCCCTGCACCAGGGGTGATGCTCCTTGGTCTGTTCTCAGGCCCAGAAGCTGAGGCTGAACCAGGGCTGAGTCTGCATGAGCTGGTTTATTGGGTTTGTCTTTTCGGTAATGTTTGCTGTTTTTTTTTTTCTTTGTGCTACTTTATTATTATTATTATTATCTTATTACTGCTTTCATTTCCTTTTTTCAGTTGCTTGAGTTCACTTGCTTGCTGGTTGGGACCCTAGTGTTTGTAAACAAAGAGTTGTTTGTGTAGTCGCACGCTGTGCTGGTAGCTGGTGACCAGACGGAGGACTTCTACTCCCAGGTGTCCTCAGGCTTTTTAGTCTTCCATTCCCTCTGGGAGAGCTTCCTGTGCCATCAAGTTCTTTGCTTTGTGGGTTCATTGCTCTTCTTTAGTGTGTTGACCTCCTTCAATTAAATTCTCTCTCTTTCCACCTGTTTCCTTGGTCTGATATTTGTATTGCTGATTCCCCCCCGCCACCTTTCTGGTTACGTTTCCTTGAAGAGCTCAGCTGTGTCTGCTGCCCTGTCCTGGGCAGTGTGCTTGGAGCAGGATGGCTGGCTTCCTTGGAGGGCAGATCTCTTCCTTCTGCCTTGGCTGTTCTCCTTATTCTCATTCTTGTTGTGATTTTAAGCCTAACAAGGATAGACGTAAGCAATGTTTTTAGAAAAAAAAAAAAGTGGACTAATTGCTTACACAATACAGCTTTTTATCACTTTAAAAAACAGATTTATTTGAGGCAGAGTTTCAGAGAGAGAGAAAGATCTTCCATCTACTGGTTCAACTCCCAAACGGCCACAAGAGACAAAGCTGGGCCAGGGTCAAAGCCAGGAGCTAGGAATTCTCTCCAGGTATCCTGCATGGGTGACAGGGACCCTAGCATTTGGGCCATCTTTCATTGCTTTACCGGGTACATTAGCAGGGAGTTGGTGGAAAGTGGAGCAGCAGGACTCAAATCATTGCCCATTTAGCATTTCAGCATTGTAGGGGCTGACTTTTTCTGCTAGTCTCTAATCTCTCTCTCTCTCTTTAAGCCCCGGCCTCCTCACCCTAAGTAGTGATCATACTGTTAGGTGTTTGCTACCTTACCCTTGAATGAAATTTTAAGTGCATGTCCAGTGTTGATCATGTATAATTAGGCTTACACATTTTCTGTTTGTCTTCTTGTAAAGTGATTTTTGATTGCATCACACCGATAAGGGCTTCATTTTAAGTCATGCTCATTTAGTCTCATTTCTTATTTAAAGCTAACTTTCCTGGTTCACAATTTTAGGAGAAACTAGTTCGAGATATTGCTCACTGTCATGGGATTCTGATCACCTCTTACTCCTACATCCGACTGATGCAAGATGATATTAGCAGGCACAACTGGCACTATGTGATCTTGGATGAGGGACACAAAATCCGGAATCCAAACGCCGCTGTCACCCTTGCCTGCAAGCAGGTATGACTTCAGTAACAAAGGTTTCTAGGCAGATGCTAGAATTTTTATTTGGGAATGAGCAGTCAGCTTTTAGTAAGACATCTCAGTTGAGTGTTTTCCTTGGCCTTTGTGTGAGGAATTTATAATACATGTTTTCCTTAATGCAGCAAGTTCTTTTATTCCTGCTGTGAGTCATGGTGGTTCCCATCCCTTCTGGTAAGGACCAATTGTTAGAATGGTGCCAGTGCATCTCTAATCCCTAGTGCCAGCCTACACAGTGAGCAGACTCCCTGACCCCGGGAGTCACCTGTGCACAGGGAGAAGCCTGTCATTGCCCACGATGTCTGTGACTCCAAGCGGGCCATCATGGGCATTGTCTGGTGATGCTGTGGGGGATGGGGGGTGGAAGGGTGGCTTCAGTAAGGAGCTGTTCATCTCACCCAACAGTTCCGCACCCCACACCGCATCATCCTGTCCGGCTCGCCAATGCAGAACAACCTCCGGGAGCTGTGGTCCCTCTTCGACTTCATCTTCCCCGGGAAGCTGGGCACCCTGCCCGTGTTCATGGAGCAGTTCTCAGTGCCCATCACCATGGGGGGCTACTCCAATGCCTCCCCAGTGCAGGTAACGTGAGGCCTGGGGGTATTCCAGACGGAGAAGATGCTGGCTGGCTCTTTTAGAGGGCCAGCCATATGGATCCCTCTGGCTTGATGATTCAGACATTCCCACGGAAGATTTTAAACAGCACATTTTACTCAGAGGAAAGCCCCAGAGTGAAACCTCACCTTGCCTGAGGTGAAGAGGGCAGCTTTGGCCTTGCTTGTTCCGGGGATGTTTCTGTCTGATGAGAAGTTAGAGGGGTCATGTGACCAGGAGAGGGCATCATGTACCATACTGCACCCTGGGCTGCTAGTGCTGTGCCTGGGCAGAATAAGGGAGATGCTTAGGGAAACGGGCACGAGGTGGGGCCCAGAGGTGGCCCTCAGCCTGATTCTAGGACAAGGGCCACCAGAGTGAGGTCAGTGATGTGGGTGCAGCCATGTTCCATGGGTATGGGTGGTGCTGAGCCAAAGATGCCTGTGTGACAGCTGGGGACATGGACAGTGAGACAGTGGTGCCCCAGGAGGGCAGGGGCTGCAAGGGCTTCTGGGAAGAATGTTGGGACTCTGGGTTGCAGGGCACTTACGGGGGAGGTGGGTACGGCAGGGGGGATGGAGCACTAAGTCTGAGAGCACTGAGGGCCTTGGCCTGGCTTGAGGACAAGGAGGGGACCAGATGGCATTTCAGGGAGAACCAGCAGGGTGTACAGGTCCTAGGTGCAGTGAAGGGAGTGTGTGGGGTGGGGGAGCTCAGTGCAGCCGGCCTCTGAGCCCTAGCTCCAGGCAGCAGGCTGAATGGGTTTGTCATAGTCAGGACCTTCAGAGGACAGCTCGGGTGTGGGCGGTGTGAGGCCTTTTGGGGCAGCCGCCAGCCTTGGGGGAGGCAGGGTTTCTGTGTTTGCCACCCCCCCCTTCATGTGGGTCATGGCCCAGCCAGAAATAAAGCCTCCCACCTGAAGAGATGCCACCCCACACTCCACGTGCTTTGCAGTAACTTGTATTTAAATAGGAAAAGCCTCAGCCTCAGAAAATTGTTCAAAAACCAAAACAACGTTTCATACCTTTTAGTCTTGACTGAATGATTTTCAAATTTTATTCATGAGGAGATTGATTTCCTTGAAAGGCAGAGTGACAGAGGGGGAAGAGACACTCTTCTGTCCTCTGGTTCACTCCCCAGATGTTCACATGGCTGGGACTAGGCCAGGCTGAAGCCAGGGGCCAGGAACTCCATCAGGATCTCCCACGTGGGTGGCAGGGGCCCCGTCCTCCATGGCCTTTCCAGGAACAGTGGCAACGAGCTGAGTTAGAAGTGGAACAGTGCCACATAGGATGCTTATTAGGAAATATCACCACAAACCCAAGCGCCCAACGCAGCGGATCATACAGCAGGTCTTAATTCGAGTGGAGAGAGAAGGCTGCACGGAGAGGCAGAAGCAGAGAGAAGAATGAAGGGAGTGTTTTTATAGCATAGGGGCGGATGTTGGCAGCATGGGACTGGTGTGGATTGGTAGACATGGTTGGTGGGTGGGTGGGGGCCAGGGACTCGGGGCCTCAAGGGATTGGTGGATAGGGCCGTCAGGTTCAGTGCCACAAGGCTACAGCAGATGGGATTGGTGGACAGTAGGGTTGTGGCAAAGTGGCGGAAACAAAATTGGGTGCAGAACCAAAGAGTGCAAAACTTACAGAAATAAAACTTTTAGGAAACTGAAGCCTAAGGAAAGCCATGCTGGGTCTAAAATGGTGGGGGTCCTGTTGGTCTTCAGGGCCAGTGCTTGAGCCACTCCTCACAATGCTGACGTTGTAAGCAGCAGCCTAGCGTGCTGCACCACACTGCTGGCTCCAGAGTAAATGTATATTTTCATTGTCACTATTTTTTCTAGTTCAGAAATTTTATTCTAATAGCTACAATTCAGTGCTTGTCGAATTGAAAACCAAAAATAGCCAGAACACTTGCTTATTATATTGGAAATGATAAGAGGTTTCAGATGCCACATAAAACAGTTCCGGGGTTTTCCATCAGGGTAAATCTAACAGCTCCAGCTTCAGCATTTACGTCATGGCTGTCCAGCACAGACACTGAGCCTTGAGTGTTCTGGAAGCCACGGTGTCGCCCGCATCCCACTCGGTGAGGCCTGTGTTTACATGCCAGTGTCCGCGTTGACGTCTGTAGTGGAGATGGTGTCGCAGTTTCACTCGGCCTCAGGTTGCACAGAATTGTCATCTTCCCTGGGCATCCAGGCCCACTGCAGGGATGCTGCTCCCTGCTCACCGCAGAGGCCCTTGCAGAGGTTTGTGGACGTGTCCCCAGTGCTGTGGACACGAGGAAGCTCTGGTGACCACAGAGGCCTCTGCAGAGGCTGCCCAGAGTGACTTAATTAACTTTTGTCAGGCTCTGTTCCTCTAAGTCCCCGCAGTCCTTCAGTTACACTTTGTTTGTTTCTTTCTTTTTTTTGAGGGGGGGTGGTTTGGGGAACCCCCCAAATACAAAGCTTTCCAGCTGGAGATGATTATAAACCAAACTGAAAGTTGCACAGACTCGCTGAAAGCTCCCTGGCGCTGCCCGCAGATCCGCCACCTCAGAGCATTTTGCCAATATTGTTTCTGCACTTGCCGCCTCCTCCCTCCCTGATGACACGGGTTCAATGTACATGGATTCCTCTTGTCTTCTGAGCACATCCCGAAAAGTGAGCGCTGTAAACCTCAGAGTCAGGGGACATGGAACGTTGGTGGGATTCTGTTACCGAATGTCTAGTCACGGATGCCCTGCCAGCGGTTCTAGAAGCTTCTGGACCCCCAGAGTTTTGCCTCTGACCCTTCTTTGGCCTTTCATGACCCCAACTTCTCCTGTGAGGCTGTCATAGGCCTACTTGCCCACTGTCAGTGATGCTGGCTCTGATGGCTTAGGTTTTGGGACAGGTGTTTTAAAATTAACTTTTAAAATTTATTTGAAAGAAAGTGTTAGGAGAGAGAGAGAGAGACATCTTTCTCATCTCACATCACTGCCCCAAATGGCCGCAGTGGCTGGAACCGGGCTGATCTGAAGCCAGGAGCTTATTTTAGGTCTCTCACATGAGTACAGGGGCCCAAGGACTTGGGCCATCCTCTGCTGCTTTCCCAGGCACATTAGCAGGGAGCTGGATCAGAAGTGGAGCAGCTGGGACTCAAAGTGGCATCCAGAATGGGTGCAGACATGACAGCCAGAGGTTTTACTTGGTAGACCAACAGCACCAGATTGCTAAACCGTAGCATGAGCACATCTCTGGAGTCAGGAAGTCCCTTGTGAAGACGTGCTGGGAAACCTGTAAATGCACCAAGGCCCCCATGGCCACACAGCTTCCTCATGTCCAGCAGCATGGGGCGCCTCAGTGAACCTCTGCAAGGACCTTTCTGATGAGCTGGAAGTACAAATCCTCACAATGAGCCTGGCTACAAGCCCTCATCTCACAGCTTCTAACACAGACGGGCTGGGACTGTGCCCTTCCAGGACCCCACCCAGTGAGGGAGCAGGTCCTCCCCGAGTAGCAGAGGCTGTGTTCCAGGACCCCTGGTGCATGCCAGAAACAGTGGAGCACAGTGTCCTGTGTGCCAACTCTGTAATGTCATCCCTGGCCACCCAGCAATGGAGACAGTGAGCAACTCGGACACACTGGGCCAAGAGCACTGGTGGGATTTAGTCACACTCCTCAGCATGGCATGCAGTTGAAGACTTATGAGTTGTTTCTGGAGTTTCTCATTGGACGTCTGCACCGCAGTTGGCTGTGGAATATTAAGGATGGGGCAGGGGTGGGGAGGGTAGGCTGCCATCCTTATTTTTGCCTGTAAGGATAGTGAGGTTCTGGGGAGAGGTGGTTGTATTTGCTCAGCCGTGTGCTGTTGGATGCTGGGATCATGGCTTGTCTGCAGGTGCTCATGGGTTTTTAGCTTGGCAGGAGGAGCTGGAACCAGAAGTTTCCAGTTCCCTCAGAAGGAGGGTAGAGGCAATGTGATAAATAAATGGGGTCCCAGAGCAGGGTGACAAGGGCGGCACACACTGTCTGCTTCTAGGAGAAGAGGTGACTGAGCCAGTGACCCACAAAGCCAAGGAGGGTGAGGGGAGAGCGTCACCACCCAGAGGAGGGTCTGTGTCTCAGTCTGGTCACCCTCACTTCACAGTGAAGTTACAGACCCAGTGCTTTGCAGCTCGCCTGAGAGCACGGCTCTGCAGTTGGAAGAAGTCGGGTGAGCCGGCTGAGACGCACCTGGACTGTGTTCCTAGCTCTGGGCTCCAGCCTTCCCAGCCCCAGCCTTGTGCTCCTTTGGGGGAAGGAACCAGCAGATGGGGGAGATCTCTTGCTATTTTTTTCCCCCTGTTTTTAAAATAGGTAAGTTCTTTTGGTGCAGACATTTTTAATTTTCTATGTGATGTTATTTACGTAGTTGACAGGGATGCAAGCCCAGGTGGGCCCCTGCCTAGGGTGAGGAGGTTTGGGTATGGAGGAAGGTGGGTGGGACAGATGCTTCAGTTTTTTTGTTTTGTTTTGTTTTCTCCTCTGTGCACAGGGGAGGAGAGGGAGGTGTCCACTTCTTGCTGTCAAACGGCTTCAGCATCTGGGCAAAACTTTTTGTCTGGAAGTCCATACATAGCTTGCTCATAAAATGACGTATATGTACATTTCATCTTAGTTTTATTTTTGATGTGTCATTTTTTTTAACTTGAATTTTTCTGTGTGTCTTATGGTAAGTCTCTTATTATTCATTTTGAAGTTAACTTTCTTTTTTCTTTTTGAAGTTAACTTTCTTATATTTAAATTACAGTTGAAATTTTCTTTTTCCATGAAATGACAAGTAGTTAAATGATTAAGTCTCTGGGCTATTTCTCTTTGATCTGTCAGTAGTTGATGGACTTGTTCATCTGTTCCTCTGATTGGCAGAGACAGTGGTGGCCAGGACCGTTGGACACTGTTTCCCTGCGTGCAGTTACTGCCCGCCATGGGCGTGACCACCAGGCCGCCCTGCTCCCTTGCGGGCTCTGGGGTCCCAGAGCTGCCACAGGCACTCTGCCGTCTCCAGCGGCCTCATCCCTGCAGGTCACCTGCTGGGCTCTCAGGGCAGCACTCCAGCACGCCTTCCCTTTCGCTTTGATCTTAGTCGTAGCCTTGGAGGATACAGGATTATCAACAGTGACCCGTGGGAAGGCAGTTTGCCCCCTAGAGGGTGATGAAGAGTGTGCCTTAGGGTTTACCTGTGTGAGCGTAATCAGCAGAGAAGGAGGAGGCACGAGTTCCTGCCTGTTCCTTTGGTTGTTAATAAGATGGGTTGTTTTAACTGATGGTATTGTGATGAGAGACACCCCTCCTGAAGTGCATAGGACCATTTTGTTGTTTTCCCAAACCATTTCCAAACAATTTTATAGCACACTGGTCACTTGGAATCATTGGAGTGATCCGCTCGCTCCTTTCTCTGATTAAAGGTGAAAACTGCTTACAAGTGCGCCTGCGTCTTACGAGACACCATCAACCCGTACCTGCTGCGGAGGATGAAGTCAGATGTCAAGATGAGCCTTTCTTTGCCAGACAAAAATGAACAGGTGTGTAAGGCCCAGGGCCGCGTCTCCCTCAGCCCCGTCTGCCTGCGCACATTGCACTCAGAGCCTGCTGTACTGTGGTTCTGAGTTTGGAACCTAGCATGTTTGTGCTCCCAACACTCAGCGTTCCTTGAAGGGAGAGAGAATCCCGGATGAGATGAGTTCAGCAGATGTCAGGTGACACTAGGTGCTGGGAACCCTGGGAACAGGTCAGAGGGTTGGGGAGTACCAAGGGCAGGAACTCCGGGAAGTGGGCCTCTCAGAAGGGTCCAGAAGGTGCAGAATGAACAGTGTGGCCAGGAGGAAGTGTGTGCCAGAGGACCGACAGGACAGTGCTTCAGTCCACCAAAAACCAGCAGGGAAACCAGCATGGCTGAGGCTAGAAGCCTGGGCCGGGGAGGGGAGCAGTGAGGAGGGCGGGGGATTGCTGGCTGGAGGGCAGGTCAGGAGGCCCTGCTGACCTGGGGATGGGGATCCAGAGCCAAGGGCCCAGGCCCTGAGGCTGAGGCATTGAGAGGGCCATCCTTCTCCTTTCCGTCCTGCTATGGCATCTTAATCTGGGTAAGAGACTGTCCCTTCTGCCCAGCACCTGCTGGTAGACGCAGAAAGAGCCATGGGGTGCCTGCAAGGACTCCTGTGAGAAAGCGACTGCCAGGGAAGACACAGTCAAAGCCATGTGCTCCAGTGGAGGCAGAAAGGGGTTGGGAGTCGGGACATTGGCCAGCCTGTGCTGCGGGGTCGTCATCCCCACTGGCCTGGAAAAGGAGAGCTGTGGTTGGAGGTGGATCTGATAAGCTTGGGACCCATGCCAAGCAACTTGGAAAGAGAATTCCAAATGGAGCTTCTCAGGTTTGGACCTGGATGAGCACGCCAGTGCTGGGGTGGGTGGGCATGGTCTTTGCATCCAGCCACTGCACTTGCTGTGAGCAGGAAGCCAGACTTCCCGTCCTGGTGGGCACTGGGATGCCCCGAGGTGTGGATGGACTAAGGGACAGAGGGGCTGGTGTGAGGCTGGGCTGTGCTCTTCTGCAGCGTGGCTTGTGCTCTGCCATTGTTCCAGTGACCAGTACCTTACCAAAGCTACAAATGCTGTGCTCTTGGGATAGCAAATTCAGTTGATGTTTTATTTTCTTCTTTTATTTTTAAAAGTATACTTTTTCTCCCCCATATAGGTCTTATTTTGCCGTCTCACAGACGAGCAACATAAAGTCTACCAGAATTTTATTGATTCCAAAGAAGTGTATGACATCCTTAATGGAGAGATGCAGGTTAGTGAAGGAACAGAAGCCAGAGGACCTGGGAAAGTGGGAGGGAAATGCATTTCTGGAATGTTCCAGGCTCTTCGGGAAAAGTCGTCACGGCTCATTCACGTGTGGTCCCACATAGGAGGTGTGAGACACAGCTTACAGGTTGAAGAAGTTAAGGTGCTGAGTTGGGTGACCGGGGGAAGGTTGCAAAGCCATGTGCTGTGGAGCTGAAACCCAGACGCAGGGCCAAAGGGATGCGGGGTTCTGCTACTCTCGAGTGTCTTATCTGGTGCATGGATGGGTGTGGGGTACCTGGCTGGGCTTTCCTGGCAGTGAGGCCGTGTTTATTCATCTGAGAGTTCCTAGGTCTCATCAGCTTCCCAAGGAGTCTGGGGTCCCCTGAGCATCTGTGAACCCCTGTGGATTGGGAACCCGACGTGCCTCTGGCTCAGCTTCTACCCTCCAGTTCTCGCTGTCCACAAGGGGAGAGGAGGCTGCTCGTGCTCTCTCTGTGTCCCCCAAGCCTTGTGCCCCCACCTGTGGCGAGCCCTGGACAGTATCTTCTCAGGAGAGCCCTTCAGAGACCTCATGTGACTGTGACAGTGTTTGGCGCCATGCAGACCTGTCCCACTGCTTTGTGTCCCAGGCCAAGAGTTCTCTGTGACCCCTATGAAGGCATCACAGTGAGACCCTTCGCTGAATCGGAAGCCTTGACAGGAGTAAGAGGACCCAGGTTATATCTGAGCGTGCTCCCCCTGGCCTGATGTGTGACACTGTGTGCTTGTGTCTGGGTTTTGGTGGAGGCCAGCTCTGGACAGTAGGATCTGCTGCGGTGATACATGCAGGAAGGGGCGGTCTCAGGCGAGAGGGAGGCGGGCAGACCCAGACCACTGCAAGGAGCAGGCCCCCGAAGCAGCATCGTCTCTGTACACTGTTCTGGAAGTAACGACAGTCTAGCTGTGGGCGTTACACAGCGTGAAATGAGCCCTGTCTGCTTAGCAAGGTCCGTGGTGGGATTGTGCTCAACATGGAGTCTAAACGCGTCAGGATCCTTTGAGTTGTGTCCTGGTGATTGGAGTGGCAGAGTCCTAGGGCTGGGGTCTGGCCTGCCTTGCTCTCACTCGGCACAGCTGTTGCTGCCTGATGGACTCAGGAGTCCATTTGCGTGTTGGACCCTCCTGTAGCAGGTACATGCTGCTTGTCCACACCTCTGTGCGTGTGGCTCCACTCTGTCCTTTTGGAGGCACATATGGGTAACACTGTGCTCGGACACACACACCAGCCGGAACCCGCACTTAGAGGAAGATGAGGGATGAATGCAGGTGACCTGGCTGCCTGCACTCACCCCATTGGGGTGCGTGAGCCACCTCAGCTTCCAGCTTACTTGTGGTCCCAGGGAGAGTTAGACCTCTCCACTCCTAAATGTGCCTTCCCTCCCTCTGGCCCCCAGGGTGGCTGGCTGGAAGACACGCCGGACTGGCGATTCTACTTGTCTCACAGCAGCGTCAAAGGGAGAAGAAACATTAGGGAGATGATTATTGAGCATACATTTTATGAGTCCTAATTAACTAAAATATCTTACTGTGTATTCAGAATTGCAAAGTGACTAGTGAGATGCTTTCCTTGTGTTTGTCCTAAGTTGTGGAGGTTGGGAGTGTGTTTTCTAGCTGCAGCTCCTGTCTGTTGGGCCCCAGCACACTTCTTGTGCTCAGAGCCGCAGGTGGCCGGGAGCCACTGTTCCGGGCAGCACAGCTGCAGGTGGGGGAGTGAGAGAGAGAGGACTCCTTAGGGACTTTTTTCTTATTTTAAGATTTATTTGTTTTTATTGGAAAGGCAGATTTACAGAGTGAAGGTGAGACAGAGAGTGAGATCTTCTGTCTGCTGGTTCACTCCCCAAGTGGTTGCAGAGGCTGGAGCTGAGCTGATCCAAAACCAGGAGTCAGGAACTTTTTCTGGGTCTGCCAAATGGGTGCAGAGTCCCAAGGCTTTGGGCCGTCCTTGACTGCTTTCCTAGGCCACAAGCAGGGAGCTGGATGGGAAGCGGAGCAGCTGGGACACAAACTGGTGCCCATATGGCATGTTTGTGCGTACAAGGTGAGGATTTAACCACTGAGCCATCACACTGGGCCCTCTTTGGGGACTTTTGATGACATTCCTGATTGGTTTAGATCTATTACTTGCTTGACTGCCCTTATTTATTTATTTTAAATAAACTACTGTGCCCTTTGATTGTTATCTTTGTGATTTCCGCTTTCTGATATGTTTTTATATCATTGGGCTGGATTTCAGGTGCACCCTGCAGGCTGAGGAAGAGCCCCTTCCTACAGTTTGTTTAACGCCGTCCTGCCAGGCCGAGCCTGGCTAGTGCAGGGTGGTGGTGGGGCCTTGCAGGTCTCCCACGCCTGCTGTTGCTTGCACTGTCCTGTACCCTCCCATCTGTGCGATTCTCATGCAGAGGTGTTCTCTGAAGTGACAGTGAGGCCTGGGAAGTGGAGCCTCCCCCTCTGGCTTGTGCAGGGAACTGCAGATCTCCTGGGGAGATGCAGGAATGTAAGCTTGAAGTGCAGCTGGTAACAGCTTTCCCAAACTTAATTTGCCTTGGTGTTTCTGATTTAAACATGAGTTAACAACTGACCGTGAGCCTGCCGATTAAACTCAGTCCACCCAGATCTTTTTGTTGTAGCAGGGAAAGAAGATGTGTCCAAGCTAATTGTGGCTCCAACTTTAAAGGAAACTTAAGCAGCTGATAGGGAGTTCCTCTGTCGCACACCAAGCAGGTGCCTTACCTGCCTCCCGGGATCGCATTCACATTTGCAGTCTGAGCGCAGGCCTTCTTGTGCACCCTAGATCTTCTCTGGACTCATCGCCCTCCGCAAAATCTGCAACCACCCTGACCTCTTCTCGGGGGGCCCCAAGAACTGCAGTAGTCTCCCGGATGACGGACTTGAGGAAGAGCAGTTCGGGTACTGGAAACGCTCTGGGAAGATGATCGTTGTCGAGTCATTGCTGAAAATCTGGCACAAGCAGGGCCAGCGAGTGTTGCTGTTCTCCCAGTCGAGACAGGTGAGCAAGTGGGCTGGCCCTTGGGTCAGAGTCAGGCTCGTTTGCTCCAGAGCTGGGGCACAGGGGTGGCAGCCTGCCATCTTCTCACGAGTTTTGCTTCTATCTAAGCAATGATGTCTACAGGTGTTTGGCCTGTTTGAAATCTGGTGTGCAGATAGATGAGTTTGGGCCTGAGCTCAGGCCGTTTCTAACAGCTGTAAGACTTAGCCATGAAGAAATACCACCAGTGGTCCTCTGGGAGTTAGGGTTCCATGCGGCCTGCTGGGGAAGCTGTGCTGTTTGCTCTGGGCTGGGAGGCCCTCATGAGTAGTGCGCTCATGGGCCAACTCCTGCCCGCCCCCATGTAGATGTTGCACATCCTCGAGGCCTTCCTCAGAGCCCGGAAGTACTCCTATCTCAAGATGGATGGTACCACGACTGTGGCATCGAGACAGCCCTTGATTACCCAGTTCAATGAGGTAATATGCGCACGGAACAGCAGGGTCATGTGGTGGGGGCTGCCTGCGGGGAAACAGGCTGCTTGGCTTGGCTGATGTGCACATTGAGATCAGGGGGTGCGTGTGCGTGTGTCGGGGTATGGGAGTTTGTTAAGCAAAGGTTTGATACCTCTCTATTTTAAATATTGCCAATAGGTTCCTAGCAGCTCTGACGGTCATATCACCCCTTGGGCAGTGTGGGGGCCAGTGTGGGACAGAGGTGCAGAGCTGTGTTGTGTGTTTTGCCTCTAGGATGCATCCATATTTGTGTTTCTTCTGACGACGCGCGTGGGTGGGCTGGGAGTCAACCTGACTGGAGCCAACAGAGTCATCATCTACGACCCAGACTGGAACCCGAGCACCGACACGCAGGTCTGGTTTCCATGGTGCTGAAGAGCACATTTGGAGTGCGGGGCTGTGGCAGGCTTGAGTGATGGTCAGCCCCAGATGGGCAGGTGGGGCTGTGGTGTGGTTGCCGTCTGCCCTTGCCGGCAGCAGACTGGAGCCGAGCAGTGAGCCCTCGGTGTGCTGTGTTCAGTTCAGGCTTGAAGACCTCTAGGTGTCTCATTTCATCTTTGCCACCTGACTGTGTGTTGGCCTTGATAGTCCTGGTCGTCATATGAATAGGTGTCATTATCATTCTCAATTTTGGCATCACAGCAGAGTTCTCCCTCACTGTGCTGTCTCTGCTGTAGGCCCGGGAGCGCGCGTGGAGAATAGGCCAGAAGAAGCAGGTGACGGTGTACCGGCTGCTGACCGCTGGCACCATCGAGGAGAAGATCTACCACCGGTCAGTGCCCGCGGGGCGAGAGGGCTTGTCTAAGCGCGGTCTAAACAGTCCGCATCTCACATAGTGGTTGCTGTCACTTGGCAGATACAAGCTTTGGTTGTTCTTGTGTATTTTGTTCTCCACTAAAGCAAGTGTGGATGGGTTCTTGTTGATTTTCAAACATCCCTTCAGGCCTGATATTTTCTGCGCCGTTTTGTACTTTGAGAACTGCCTATATGTAATCTTTGTGTTAGTTCTCGTCTGAGGGAAGTGTTCCTGCCTGCTCTGGTTGTGAGATGGGACAGCCAGGGCCTGGGCCTGGCGTATGCACATTGCGCATAGGTGTGGTCGTCTGGTGGCCCATGGCTGCGGGCAGAGAGGCGCCTTTGCCTGTCGTTCTGTAGGACATGCTGGGCTCTGGGGCAGGGGGACTGCTGAGTCCAGGCATTGCAGCCTCTCCTCTCCCCCTACAAAGACTTGGTCTTGGGCTGTGCCCAGCTCTTCTGGGGGTGGGACCTCCCTGATCCCACTGCTAAAGCCAGGAGCCTTTCTGAGTCTCCCACACAGGTGCAGGGGCACAAGGACTCTGGGTGAACCTTCACTGCTTTCCCAGGCCATAAGCAAGGAGCTGGGTGGGAAGTGGAACAGCTGGGACATGAATTGGTGTCCATAAGGAATGCCAGCACTTACCGATGGGGGATTAGCCTGTTGAGCCACCATACTGACCATGGTCTCCAGGTTCTTAAGGGTCTGTGCCAAATGGGCTGCAGATGGCGAGTATCTTGTGAGAGGAGTGCGTTCCCTCAGAGGCATGCTTGGCCTGAAGATGCACAACTGGGAGGGCCCGGTGCTGCTCAGTCCAGAGGGTCCAGAGGGATGATGGTGGGGCCCTGCAGGGGTCGCCAGGCAGGCGGGTCAGAAGGAGGCAGAGCCTGCAGGTGGGTCCCGAGTGGGGAGAGGGGGTGCAGCTCCATGGGGCCCTGGGTCACGGGGCTGCATCTGAGAAGATGTGTTGGAGGATGGCAGAGCTGTCGGTGCAAGCAGCAAGCGGCTGTTTCTGGTTTGGGTTCTGTGCTCTGTGGGGTCCCGCTGAAGTCTTCAGGGCTCCCTCGGTTGTTATCTTCCAAGGCTAACTGTTGGAGCCGTCATTTAGCCACCTGTGCAGTTGTAGTTATCTGTCTCGGCTGTGGCTTGAGGACTGGTTTTGAGGGAGAGCTAATCAGAATTTGAGGGTGGCCAGCTTTGTTTCTGTCATCTCAGGCAAATCTTCAAGCAGTTTCTGACGAACAGAGTGCTGAAGGACCCGAAGCAAAGGCGGTTCTTCAAGTCCAACGACCTGTATGAGCTGTTCACCCTGAGCAGTCCCGACGCGGCCCAGAGCACCGAGACGAGCGCCATCTTCGCAGGTACTGCGTCAGCTCATGGGAAGCCCCGGTCCCCCGGGAAGGCGCTCCTGCTCGTGACATTCTCTCTGCTTCCCCCTCGGCAGGAACCGGTTCAGACGTGCAGACCCCCAGGCGCCCCTTAAAACGCAAGAGTCGGCCAGCCTTGGGGACAGACCAGGATGCCCCCAAATGCAGAACGTTCCCGCGGCCCAGTCCATTGCCAGATGGTGCTGCATTGCCCGCGGGGAAGCCTGCAGGGGCTGGGGCAGAAGTGCACACTGTGGCTTCTGATGAAGGCGGGTCTGCAAAAGATGACCCACACACCAGTGCCAGCATAACACCCAGTGGTGGCAGGATGGCAGAAGAGGGGCTTGTGGCGCCTGGACCAGAGGACTCTGAGGTGGGCAGCGGCAGGGGGAAACATCAGGATGCACTGGGAAGCAGCCAGACCTCCCCCGGGCTGTGTGCCGAGGGGAGTGGCGACACCAAGCCGGACCTGTCCTCCAAAACCGGAGGCTCTCAGGCCGAGCTGCTCTGGGAGAACGAGCGACCAGAAGCTGTTTTCTCTAAGCACAAGTCAAAAACCAAGCATCAGACTGGGGCAGCAGAGGAGACCCCCGAGCAACCCGAGACCCCAAAGCCGAAGGTGAAGAGCCACAGGCCCCACCGGGACGCCAAGTTCGAGGGCACTCGGATCTCCCACCTGGTGAAGCAGAGGCGCTACCGCCAGCAGGACGGCGGCAACACGGATGAGGCCGCGCACCGCAGCACCGACGACTACGTGCTGGAGAAGCTCTTCAGGAAGTCAGGTAGCCTGCTGGCCTGGCCGCGCTGCCATTGACAATGTCTGTACCCCGCTCCCTGAGGCCCCCGGAAGCTTGGCAGTCTGTAGTACTTGACCGAGCCCACTAGTAGGAGGTTGTGAGCTGCTTCAGGTAGGGAGTGCTCTCTGCTTGTTCCGCGTGCTTGGCCGTTCAGCGTGCTTGGCAGGTAGTAGAGCTGACAGCTGCTGTGAGAGGGGAAGTCGAGGCAGTCAGGGTCCTGGAGCGCAGAATACCTGCACGGCTCAAGCACCGCCCCAGCGAGCAGGTGAGCCAGAGGTGGACGGACAGAGGGACCTGCCGTGTGCCGGTTCACTGCCCAGTGCCTGGGAGCCAGGAGCTCACACGGGTGTCACCTGTTGCTTCCCAGGCTGGAGTCAGGGAGGGACTGCTGTGTCCCATTCCTGCCAAGGCTTCCCTTTAGCCTGGTCGGATAGGGCTGTCGATTTGTCCCATGGGAAGAGTTCAGGCTTCAGGAAGTGAGCTGGGATCACACAGAGAACGCTGCTAGGTCTTGCACTTGCTGGCGTTTGCTTTAAGGTTACACGTAGGCTTGCAGGATTCGTCTAGGGTGCAGAGTCTGGGGCCGTGATGACTCCTGACTCAGGTGCCGGCCGGTGTGGCATCCAGCTGCGGTCCGCAGGGGATGCGGGGAGGTCCGCACTGGGCTCTCCTCACTCGCACCCTCACGCGTCAGCTCCAGCCCGCCTTGTCTCCCTGAGTGCTTCGCTGAGCCTTCGCAACACAGAGGCCGCTGAGCCCGACTCGCATCTCCCTTTGGTGTCACAGCCTGCACATCCAACAACTGTAAAAACCCCAGACACAGGAAGTGTACAGAAAAGTAAGACACGCTGTGATCCAGGTGGTCCAGCGGGCACCTGACGGGCAGGGCCGAGGCCGGCCACGAGAAGCAGATGGACAGCCTGGGTTCTTGCTTGTGCAGAACTTTCGGGAACAAAGATGACCACACTCACCTCAGCAGCAGGGTTTTGTTTTGAGGTCATTTGTAGCTTTTTTTTTTGTCCACTAGGCTGATCCTGGCAGGCTATCTTTTTATGATTTTTCTCAGCGCACTAGGCTCTTGGCTCACTGACTCCCGGCCTGCTCTCCAGCTTTTACACTTTGTTCCGTGCTGCCTTGCACTTTGCCTACATTGTATTTTGGTAGGGTTTTTTCTCAGCTGTTTTCTTTAGGTAGGTAAGTGTTGTTGTTGTTGTTGTTTTTTTGCTTAGAAATGTAGTCCATGTATTTTCATTCATTCATTTGTGTTGATAGACAAATGCAAGGCTGGGACCCTTGTGCTGCTCATTGCATGAGGTGATTTTTATTGTTCTTTTGATGATTACCTTCTAGAAATTCTAGTTTGGCTGATACTTTTTCTGTCTTTAGAGAGTTTCCTGTGGGTTTTTGTGTCCCCGCTTGGTCAGAGGGAGGCTGGAAGGGTAAAGGTTGGGTTGGCGTGCTGGTTGAGGGTATCGCCCGGGAAGGGTGAGTGGGCCGTGCCCACCTGGGGCTTGCGTCCATGAGCCTCCGGGTGCTCCCAGCCACTGCCACGGGTGTTCCTGTCTGCTGAGAAGGGAGTGTGTTCTGCGCATGCACTGAGATGTGCCCCTTTGTCTCCCTCCTTGCCAGTGGGTGTACACAGTGTCATGAGGCACGATGCCATCATGGATGGGGCCAGCCCCGACTACGTGCTGGTGGAGGCCGAAGCCAACCGGGTGGCCCAGGACGCTCTGAAAGCCCTGAGGCTCTCCCGGCAGCGGTGTCTGGGTGCCGGGTCAGGGGTTCCCACCTGGACTGGCCACAGGGGAGCGTCGGGGGCACCGGCAGGAGTAAGGTAAGAGACCAACGCTGCCCTGCTCACCAGCTGGCCAGATGGCCAAGGTAGAGGTCGGCCAGGCCGCGCTGGGTTAGGGGTTCGAACTCATCAGGGCTTTGTAGCTGTACCTTCTTCCCCGCTCGCTTCCCCAACTTTTCAAGGCTGGCTTTCTTGGGAGGAAGTGACAGATTTTGAATGAGAAATGGCAGTACAAGAAGCAGAGATGTGTAATAATGGCTTAGCCAGGGGCCCGGCACGATGGCATAATGGTTAAGGTCCTTATCTTGAACATGCTGGAATCCCATATGGGCACCAGTTCTAATCCCGGCAGCCCTGCTTCCCATCCAGCTCCCTGCTTGTGGCCTGGGAAAGCAGTTGAGGACGGCCCAAAGCCTTGGGACCCTCCCTGCACCCATGTGGGAGACCTGGAAAGAAGTTCCTGGCTCCTGGCTTCAGCTCGGCACAGCACCAGCCATTGCGGCCATTTGGGGAGTAGATCATCGGATGGAAGATCTGTCTCTCCTCCTCTCCGTACATCTGCCTTTCCAATAAAATAAATAAATCTTAAAATAGTAATAATAATGGCTTAGCCAGAGTAAGATGGCTATGGGTGACCCTGTGCTAACTCACAGGCCCTCTGCAGTTGGAGGGTGGTTCCCAGCGGGTGCTGCGTGAGGATGTGCATCTGACGCGGGCTTCAGGAGGCATGTGTGCATGGGGTGGGGCAGAAGCTGCAGAGAGGCACCTGTCCCCGGCTGGGCGCAAAGTGGGCGTTTTGCCCTCCTGGTCTCAGAAAGCCCTGTCAATGATGAAGGACACGTGTGTTTTGTCTCCTTCTGCAGGAGCAGGTTCGGGCAGAAGAGGAATTCTCACCTACCTGTGCAGCGCGCCACGGAGAAATGCCAGGTAACGGGAGCCAGGGTGCTGCTCATGCGTGGGAGCAGTTTGGCTGAGTGGTGGGGAAGCGGCACCTCTTTTTGGCTGTGAAGAGAACAATCATGCGGGCACAGCCATACTTTCTGAAAGATGGGGTCTCACCCCAAGATCCCCAACAGGTACCTGCCGCCCTTGGCTCATAAGTACAGGGCCGGGTGTCCAAGGCCCTACAGCCTTCTAGGCCTAGTCGAGGGCCAGCCTCCTGGAGGAAAGGCACTGAGCCCAGCATGAACATTGGCTGTGACTCATGGCTGCCAGGGCCACGAGCCCCCCTCCCTGCCCTGTGCACTGGTCAGCCCTCTTTGGTCTTTCTGATATGGCTTAACTGTAATACACCACGGTCCCCGCTGCAGCCTCTCATTTGAGAGCAGTGTCAACACGTCAGGCAGGATGAGCTCCTCTGACTGCCGTGCTGTAGGGGATCGTGGTGAGCTGAAGAAGCTCGCCTGAGGTGGAAGGAAGAGGGGCGAGAGGAGACGGAGGAGGGCTCTGCTTCTGCTCCTCACCCAGCAGGGACCACGGGCCTCCATGTGGGAGCAGGGGCAGGTGCTGGCAGCCCAGGGCTTCCCCGGAGCCCTGCAGGGAGCCCCTTGCCTCTCAGTGGGGCCAGGGGGGCAGCCAGCTTCCCTTTCCTCTTACTCACTCATGCAGAAATGGCCCTCAGCTGGGGGTTGACTCTCACCTTCCCCATTAGCCCGACCACCCGGCACGCAGTCTCTGAGTGGCCCTTCAGGTTCGTGGGGCGGGACTGCAGAGCATGTGCTCACGCAGTGGCCTTCTTTCCCCAGGATGCTGTCACAGCGCAGGAGGGGAAGGACCGAGGCTCTGGACACTTCAGCGGACATGGAGAGGAAGCCGAGTCCTCCTCCGTTGTGCCTTCCTCATCTTCACTGTTGGCCAAGATGCGAGCGAGAAACCACCTGATCGTGCCGGAGCGGCTGGAGAGCGAGGACAGGCACGTCCCGGGTGCTGCCGCCCTGGCCCCCAGCGCCACGGAGCACGATGAGCTGCTGGTGGAGGTGAGGAACTTCGTGGCCTTCCAGGCCCGCGTGGACGGCCAGGCCAGCACTCAGGAGATCCTGCGGGAGTTTGAATCCAGGCTGTCGGCGTCGCAGTCCTGTGTCTTCCGGGAACTGCTGAGGAATCTCTGCACTTTCCACCGAACGCCGGGAGGCGAGGGCATTTGGAAGCTCAAGCCCCAGTACTGCTGAGCAGCCTCCCCGCCCAGGCCGCCAGCCCGCTGGGCTGGTGGTACGGCCAGTCACGTTAACCCAGAACGGTGTGTCTACCTCACAGTCCCAGCTCCAAGGAAGAAGATGCCTGCCCGCCTGGCTGGCTCTGGCCAGCAGCCCGAGAAGGTGCCTGCACGCGTGTTGCCAGCATTGCAAAGTGCGTGAGAGAATCAGGGACCCAGCGGTAGCTCCTGGGGCACTGCTGTCAGGGAGTACGTGTCATAGACATGCGTGCTGGAGCCTCAAGGATTCATTCCGTGGTGCTAACACATGTCTTCCCCTCAGCTGGGCCTGCGCAATAAATCGGCTCGCCAGGATCGGCTGGCAGCAGCATCGTGGTGCACAGCTTTCCGAACTGGACGATCATGTCACTCGCCACTCCAGGTCGCTTTTGTTCCCTTTCAGGTCGCATGTATGCAGTCTGCCTCGTAAGGGTCTGTTAGATTGACAGGCGTTTTTATCAGTCAGGCACAAATGTAGCTTGGCAGTAAGGGTGTTTACTTGGGCAAAACTGCCATTACTGAGAGGGCCCAGCAGAAGTAGTCTGTTCACTCTGAGCAGAAGCAGTCTGTTCCATTACAGGGACCATTGATTTTAGGTGGGAAAAATGTGTTACAGAAACAAAAAAAGCAAAACCAGAAGTGTTCATATAAAATACCACACTGGGATGCACAGGGATGCACAGGCGTCCCCTCTGGTCCGTGACCAGACATGGACTGAGCAGCCTGCTCCCAAACCCGCAAATGCACGGTGCTCCAGGAGCCCAGGCTTCAGAGCAGTGAGGTGACAGGGTACCACACCTGGCCTCAGGTGACAGATCATAGCCCAACACAGGCTTGTGTGAAATTGTCACACTGTGTAAAGGTGTGTATAGCATACGTGGGTTTCCTGACAGACAGGTTTGCAGAAGTCAGAAATCTGAAGCAGTGCTGGTGCCCAGCACAGCAGGCCTCTTGAGCCCTGCCGCTGACCGCAGGCCTCCTCCGGTCCTTGGAGCCCCGGCCGTGTCAGCCGATCGCCTTGTCTGAGAGCACCTGGGGTTGGTGCCTGCCGGCTCACAGCTGCCCCCTCCCGCCTGTCACTCCTTCCCACGTGCTTCCCAGCTACGTCTCCCCGTTTCTGACTGCTGTTCAGGCGTTGGCAGTTCTGGGAGCCCGGCCCACCCTTGATGCTTTTCTCAGCCTGGTCTTTCTCATTCATTCCCTTTTTGGGGCTGACTTTCTCGTTTTGCCTTGAAGTTGTGTTTCCCGACTCTCCTTGTATCCCTGCCGGTTGCCCTCAGCAGTCATGGCAGGGCTTGCTTGCCCTGCCCCGTGCCATCTCCATTTGCCTTGCTCACGTTTGCAGCGGGCGGCGGTACCCAGGTCATGTATGTGCCTGACCTGGGCCGCCTGGGCTTGGGGAGGATGCGCGCATGTTGCCCCCTCTGCTCTGGGGTTTGGTCCAGGGGTCCCGCCCTTCCATAGCCACAGATGGCCTAGGTGGGCCAAGCGTCCCCCTAGGATGTTCTGTCTCTCTCTCTCTCTCTTTTTTTTTTTTCCTGTTCCTGGCTTCATTTTTTAGTTGATTCTTGCTTCTTGGGGGAAGAAGATACCATTTCCTTCACTTTGCAGGGACGTCATAAAAGGCAATTTTTTTAAAAGGTTTATATATTTTCGTTGGAAAGATTTACAGAGGAAGGAGCTTCTTCTGGGTCTTGCGTGTGGGTGCAGGGTCTCAAGGCCTTGGACCATCCTCTGCTGCTTTCCTGGGTACCTTATCAGGAAGTTGGATGGGAAGTGGAGCAGCTGGGACATTAATCGGTGCCCACATGGGATGCTGGCACTTTCAGGTGGAGGATTAGCCGATTGAACCATCACACCAGCCCCATAAAAGGCATTTTTAAACAGGTTAGAAAGTCGTGAGTTGAACACTTGGCTCAGATGGGAGTCAGAAATCAGGGGTGCCTTGTTTCTGGGAACCCTGTGTTTATCTCTGTCATACCCTCGTCTTCTTAGGGTCAAGTCGTTGTTCAGGCCCCTGGGATGCTGTGTTTGGGCATTCCTGAGTGATTGTGAGGTCGGGAAACTGTTAGAACACAGAGAGAGCTGGGGTCACGGAACCAGTGCTTGCCCCGCTCTGCCCTGCCTGGCCCCAGCTGGGGTCTGGGCTCAGCATGACAGCCGCCCGTGTGGGTGGCGCCGAGCGCTTGGAGTGCAGGAACTCAGAGAGACTACCCAGAATGGGATGTTTTTTAAATCAATACACAGAGTAATTTATTCATTCACGTGAAGTCTAGTATTTGCAACTTGCGAAGGTTTTGCATATTTAGCACGAACACATGTGCTGTGTTTGGCAGGTCACGTTAACATGGGTTGTGTCCAGCCGCTTGCGTTCCTCAGTTGGTGCAATGTTGGAACAGCGCGAGCACGGCGGTCTGCCTTCCCGCCCCCACACCAGCCCCGCTCCCGTGTGAGCATAGGGTTGCCCGCAGTGGGTCATCCTGCAGGCCGTTCACCCCACGGTCATGCACACAGGCGGCACACACTTCGCCCTCAGGTTGGGACTCACACCTGGACACAGGGCAAAGCTCGGCTCAGCACTGAGCTTGTCTGCCCCCTTGATGGTTCTCTGTGGCCACATGACTGCATTATATGATCTTGAATAGTTTTCTTAAAAAAATACTTACTATTTATTTGGAAGTCAGACAGGTTTCTGATGCCTTGGGGCACTGCCCGCGTGCCTACTTTAGCAGGGGCCTGGGCCCGGCCAGAGCCAGGAGCTGGAGCTCCATTTGGCTCCCTTGCGTGGGTGGCTGAGACCCAAGGCCTGGGGCCACCACCTCGGATTACCAGGGTTTTTGTTAATGGGGTGCTGGAATGGGTAGCAAGAGGGGCCCTCAAACCAGGCACTCCAACCTCGGACCCAGGTGTCCCTCGTGCAGCTGTCTAGGTGCCAAGTGCCTGTTCTGTGTGACTAATTGCAGGCAGTGGGATCTCAGGAAAACTCCCAGGTGAGGCCCCCAAAGAAGAAATTGGGGTTCTACCCGCTCGCTGCCTGGGATGTGTGGGCCTCATTCTGGAGGTGAGGCGGGACAGGGGGACTGCTCACCCCAACCCTGCCTTGCTTCTGCTTTCCTTTCCTTGTGACTCGAGAGTGGAGTAATTCACTGACTGTGAGAGCTCCTGTAGCTGGGAGTGTCCGGCAGCGGCCAGGTGCGTGCACTGTGTGCTAGTGTGGTTATAACCATCCTTGTCACTTTGCAAACTCATGTTAATGCAAGGCGGCTTTTCGTTCCTCTGAGTCCAGCTCTGGCTTCGTGGAAGCAATGGATGGAAAACGATGTAGGTTTTGAATTTAATGGATGTAGTGAGATTGCTGCTTCAGTTGACCCTTCCAGAGGAAGACCCATCTCTCTACACCTTTGCCGTCAGCAGGTGCCATTATTCTCAGCAGGTCTTCTTTCTTTCTTTTTTTTTTTTTTCTTGTTTAACCTGTCCTGGTGCACGCTTGGCCCATTAGGTTAAGTTAAGCTGCCTGTTAGGGTGCCCATGTGCCACATTGGAACACCCAGGTTAGGGGACCCCCACGGCCGTTGACTGCAGTGCTGATGGCTCAAGCATTGGGGTCCCTGCCATCCGTGTGGGAGACCAAGAGTGAGTTCCCAGCTCGGGGGCCGGGGGAGTGAATCGGTGGGGCGATGGGAGTCTTTGTGTTAAGTGGAAATCAAATCATATGTATTTTAAAATATTTATTGTATGTATTTATTTGAAATTCAGAGTTCTAGAGAAAGAGGGAGAGTCAGAGAGGAGATCTTCCATCGGCCACTTCCCTCCCCAAATGGCTGCTATTCAGGGCTGGGCCAGGCTGAGGCCAGGAGCTTGGAACTCCATCGGGGTCTCACGTGGGTGCAGGGCCCAGTCACTTGGGCCGCCTTCACTGCTTTCCCAGGTGCGTTAGCAGGGAGCTGGATCTGAAGGGGAGCAGTCGGACTGGAACCAGCACCCAGATAACATGCTGGCACTGCAGGTGGGGCCTGACATGCTGGGCCGCAGTGCCGCCCCAAAACGTTTTAAAACTACGTTGCTTTACCTTGCATTTCCCCGACTGCTCATTAAACATTTGCATGTTTCCTGGCCTTGCTTGTTCATGCTTGCCGGCCGTGCCCATGGATTAGTTCTCAGTCTGGGTTGTTTCCTGAACAGAAGGCAGAGGGGTTTTGATGAAGGCTGTTTTTCCCCCAGCATCCTGAGAGGCCAGGCTTCAGATCAGCCTCGGCGAGCTTGTTGGGGGGACAGGTGTGCGTGTCTTGCACTTTGCCCTGTGCTTGGCACGTCCCCTGCCTCTTTTGCCTTGCTTCAGTGCTGTCGCCCTAGGCATTTTGGGTGCGCTCTGAATGACAGCCTCGGTTGTTTGAGGCTCCACAGAAACGGCTGGTGCGCTTTGGAGTGGCATTGCAGGTGCTTTCATCCGAGGGTGGGAAGCTTGGCCGGGGCCCTGCATGCAGTGTCTGCCTTCACGGCGTCATTTCACTGAAGTTGGTCGCTTGCCTTCTCAGATGGCAGGACAGGGCCCGCCCTAAAAGCCCCGCACATTCCATCCTGGGCTTGTTCTTACAAGATGTTTACAAGTCTTACAAGATGTTTAGATCAGGATGCTTTTCTTTCTGCATAAAAAGCCAAGGAATTAGAACATCCATGTGTCTGTCTGCTTCGTGTATGTTATTGACCATCCAAAAAAATACTTCTTAACGTTCAGTATTTCTGTGTTTTCATTTTCTTAATTAAGAACCTCCTTCCCTAGCCTACAGTTGTGAATACATTTTCATCAATCTCCCTTTCAATTCCCTGTGGTAGCTCATTTTTCTAGCCCGTTAAAGAGATAATGAATCCCTTCCCCCTGATGGGTAAGATGTCTGTTGGGGCACTCAGGGGCGTGTCTGGGTGGGGTGCTGTCCTGTTGGGGCACTCAGGGGCGTGTCTGTGGGTGCTGTCCTGTTGGGGCACTCAGGGGCGTGTCTGGGTGGGGTGCTGTCCTGTTGGGGCACTCAGGGGATGTGTCTGTGGGTGCTGTCCTGTTGGGGCACTCAGGGGCGTGTCTGGGTGGGGTGCTGTCCTGTTGGGGCACCCGGGGATGTGTCTGTGGGTGCTGTCCTGTTGGGGCACTCAGGGGCGTGTCTGTGGGTGCTGTCCTGTTGGGGCACTCGGGGGCGTGTCTGTGGGTGCTGTCCTGTTGCCTGACTCGGTCAGGTACTTGCTCATAATCGTGTGTTCCAAATGGCAGAGTCGTGTCCTTCATCCTCCACAAACCCCTTGGTGATTTTTGGGATCTTGAATCCATAGACATTTTGTAATAAGCTCATCCCATTTAGATTTTATTTCCGCAATTGTAATAAATATACATGTTAGCTGGATTACTTGATAGAGTTTTCGCCTAAATAAGTTGTACCATTCCATTTATTTATTACATATTTATGGACATAATTCTCTTACGGCCTAGATTTTATAAAAAGATTACCCTGTTATCTCAGAGGTGTTCCTGACTGCCTTCCAGTTCTTGTGGTTATGTAAATTGCATCCTTTTAATTACAGTTTCTAGTTTATAAGTTGATTTTTACATACTGTTCTTGTACTTAGCAACCCTAATTCTAATTGTCTGAATCGTTCCGTGTGTAACAGCTGTGTCTGCTGGAGGTAGTGACAGCTGCAGATTTTCTAGCCCCATCCTTAACACTTTGTATGTTTCCAGTATGATGATGAATTTAACTTACAGCAGCTGACCTCTCCGCCTTGCTCCTGGCCTTGAAGATAAAGTTGAAAGCTCTGTGTGAAAATACACGTCCTGTTGTTTGTAGCAGGGTTTTCTGGGCTGAAGGAGGTGCTGGTTCCAGTCCAGAGTGCAGGGCTGAATCTTAGCAAATGCATTTCCTGCAGCTATGAATGGGAATAAAGAGTGTTTGTCTTTTAGCACCTCTTCATGTGCTATAAAAGACATTGTTAAAATGTCTGGCACTGAAATGTGTTTTAGACTTCTGGAGTGGCAGCGCGAAAGGGCCCAGTGTTACTTCGAGTCCAGGTCAACTATCGGCAGTGACAATTGCAGTGCCAGACCTGCCACTCGCACACACCTACAGTCTCCAGTCTGTCCTGCATGCACCCAGCCAAGGAGTGACACTTGTCTTAAGACTATCTACATAGTCTGGGCAAGAACAGCCAGAACATGGGATACCTGAGCTGCCACCCACTGTCCTCACAAAAGTGAGAGACAAACTCCCAGGGCACCTGACTACACTGGGGCACCTGACTACACCAGGGCACCTGACTACACCGGGGCACCTGGCTACACCAGGGCTCCCGACTGCACTGGGGCACCTGACTACTGCAGGGCACCTGACTACACCAGGGCACCTGACTACACCGGGGCACCTGACTACACCAGGGCACCTGACTACACCGGGGCACCTGACTACACCAGGGCACCTGGCTACACCAGGGCACCTGACTACACCAGGGCACCTGGCTACACCAGGGCTCCCGACTGCACTGGGGCACCTGACTACACCGGGGCACCTGACTACACCGGGGCACCTGGCTACACCGGGGCTCCCGAATGCACTGGGGCACCTGACTGACATATGGCACCTGACTGCACCAGGGCCCCCGACAGGTCGAGGGAGATGCGGAGGGGAGGTG